TTACTAAAGTCCGCAACAACAGGAGCAGTTATTATTATTTCCTTATTTATTATGTACTTAAATTCACAGAATGGTTCTGCAAAATAACAAATAATAATGTCATATATCAGGCGCTTTTGGGCGTTATCATACTTTATTTTTTGTTTTTAATTTAAAATTTTGATCATTTCTCTTGGTAGTTGATACTTGAAGAATACGAGTTTAGATACGAAGCGACGATACAAACTTGGAAAGAACAACGACAACAGCAAAAGGCCGTCTGTCAATCTGACAAGAAAAATGATCGAGAGCAGTAGCTCGATAGAACCTTATATGCGATGTTGAGGAGGCTTATCCCAAGGTAGTTGGCGCAGATTGTTTGGTCTCCCTTTTTGTGGATTGAGCAGCCCAATTTCGGCTGCTCCATTTTCTCAATTTTTTTAAACTAGTGTAAAAGTTTATGATTTTTTGATTTTTCGATGCTTTATGACACTTTGTGAGTACCCCATATATTTTGAGCCCTAGCGTAATCGATCAGCCTCAACTCATTTGGGGATGTTTCATCATGGAGATTATTATTTCATTACAAACTTGTGTCAAAGATACCTTCATTCCCCACCTTGGCTTTAAAAGATGCCAAGCACGATTTTGRCATCGTGGCGGAGGCAACTCGCTTGGTAGGCTTCAAGCGCTAACTAAACTTTGCTCACATCGTCCTCTTCCGTCGTGGCATGGGCGCAAATCAGCGMTGTTGAAGAATTGAGGCGTTTAGTACACATAAATTAATTTGTAAGTACGTTGGTCGTAAAAATACTAAATTTCTGAGCGTCTAAAGTTTCTTAGAAAAACATGACGCATACTAAAAAAAAAAAAAACAATCATATGAAGCAAAATCTGTCGGATGTTCGAAAATCCTGATATTAGATATATATATATTAGGTCAAGGTTTCGCCCATTTTAGATACCAAAATACACTATTCACCAAAAAGTGTGCGGTACTACATCCGTCGTCCAATTTTCACACCGGCTTCCATTTAGCACTCTCATACCAACCCGTGGGTAAAATGTAATTCCTTTAGTGTATTTACTTATTGATTTATTATTTTTAGTAGTTTTTAACCTTACCATTATATGGGGAGCTAGCAAGTAGWACTTACCGATCCAAACGGGGTTAGATCGCCGAAAATATATATATTATCTTATCGCCCGATAACTTTCCTCTCCTCAGTAGTGAAGACACTTGAGGCCTTGCTACTCCCGACTTTCACTCACCACCTGAGCCTAGCCCGTCACCAGCATGGATTCCGAAAAGTACACAGCACCACCACAGCACTTAGCGTCATAAACGCTCAGATAGTACGTGGTCTCAACCAGAAACTACCCTGTGAGAGAACGATCCTCGTAGCGTTGGACTTGTCAAAAGCTTTTGACACAGTCAACGAAACAACGCTACTGCAGGACATTGAAAAAACTTCGCTCCCTCCAGGGCTTAAGAGGTGGACCATGAACTATCTCAACGGTCGTCAGTCATTCGTACTATTTCGAGGTGAAACATCTAAACTGAGAAGAATTAAACAAGGGGTTCCGCACGGTGGTGTCCTCTCCCCGCTACTGTTTAACTTCTACATCTCGAAACTCCCGAAACCACCAGAGGGGGTTTCCATAACCTCGTACGCAGATGACTGCACGATATTGACGTCGGGCAATGGAATCGATGGCATGTGTGGGAAGGTAAACAACTACCTCTCCAACCTTTCTCGTTTCCTCACTGCACGAAACCTCACACTTTCCCCCACCAAATCCCCAGCGATCATATTTACGTACTGGACGAAGGAGTATAGACTTTAGCTTAATATTGCAGTCGATGTCGTTAAAATTCCGTCTTTCAATAACCCTAAGATTTTAGGCGTAATCTTCGATAGTCTGTGCTCCTTTTCTCCCCATACGACCGCGATTATCGCCAAAGTACAGAGCCGCAACAAGATACTCAAATCGCTAGCCGGCAGCACATGGGGAAAAGATAAAGAAACGTTGTTGGCAACTTACAAGGCAATCGGCCGGCCAGTTTTTAACTGCGCAGCACCAATCTGGTCGCCTGGATGCAGTGGAATACAGATGAGGAATCTTCAGACCTGGCAGAATACTGCACTTCGGACCACGACGGGATGCCTTTTGATGTCTCCCATAGGACACCTCCACAGTGAGACGCTTATGCTTAATGTAAAGGAGCATAATAAACTCCTCTCCAAACAGTTCTATTAGGATGTTTCCGTTGAATCACCCTTGCAGCCATCTGCTTGGAACGGAATCGCCTCCTAGGAGCATCAAAAGGTCCTTCCTTGACTACGTCGATGACGTCGTAAATGCGCCGACGGGACTGACTTTCGACAAGTACTGACCGCCATTCACAGTGGAGCCATCAACACCTTCACCGACTCCCTTCCCGTGAATGGCGTTCTTGGAGTGAAATCACCACCTACCGCAGACGAAGAGCTCCAGTTGCCGCGAGAAACGCGAGTGACCCGAGCGCAACTTCGTCCTGGATATTGTAGCAGATTAAACTCCTACTTATCCAGAATTGAGCCTGACATACCCGATTTATGTCCTGCATGCAATGAGTCCTCGCGTGATACTGGCCACGCATGCCCTACAAACCCTACTCTAACACCCGTTTCTTGGGACTCCCATTAGATGACCTCGACGAGAACGCAAATGACCCTTACCACCCCAACGGGGATTAGATAACAGTTAAAACAACAACATGGGGAGCTAGCGAAGTTATCTTCCAATTTCATCCATTTTCACGATATCGGTTGGAGTTCTTGTAAGATTTGTGATGGGCGCATTTGGCTGTTATTGCTTTAGTAGTTTAGAATATACATATATACATTAAACTCATTAGAGGGTGGGACCACACCCAATTCTTCAAATATGAAAAACAAAATTAAAATTAATATAAATAATATATACATGTTTTCTTATTTACTTACTATATTACGGGTTTTAGAAATCGATTAATATACCAAAATTACCACAGAAAGCACAATTGTCTGCGCTAGTAGTCGATATCCACTCGTAATGTACATTTAGGTATTCTGCTGACGCACGTAAAAGGTCTTTAAGAGATTAATTGTGTGCACTGGCAACATAAAACTACATTTTAAAATAAAATACTGTATTTGGTGTTATCGAATAAGGTGTCTTCTTTCCGTTCTCTGTGAAATGAAAACGTCTACAACCTAGAATATGACGCAAACTGTTTGGTTTCCTAACTTGTAAACACCTTTTTTTTTAGAATATCATAAAACTACAACTGCTTCCCAGAAAAGTGTATTTGGTGAAAATAATAATATAAAATGAAGAGCGGCAAAATAAACTTTTTAAAATTAATATTAGCTACTTGTAACATTTATTTTGTACAAATAAAAAACAAAGTTGCAACAAATGTATAAACTTGTTTAGCTAGTGGATAAAAACGAGATAATGAAAGAAGCTATCCATAATTTAGAACCTGAAAGTAATGGACTGTGGGAACATCGCAAATACAATATATTAAATGAAATTAAATTTCTAAAGCGTTTTAGACCTCTTCAGTTAATTACCTTTTAATTTCCTCCACACAAATACGTTTAAATATTCAAAACCTCCAGCGGAATGTTAAAATAGTTTTTACTGAAACAAGAGTGCATATTTTTAAAAGACAGTACGGCCGTTCTTCACACGCGTTTGTGGAATTATCTTTCATCTCATTAAACAAGAATTCTTCAATGTAATATTTCTTTTAAATGGAACGTTTAAAAACTATATTCTATATTTTAGTAATTTTTCGCCTTTCTTGTGTTATTTTTCTTAAATCAATTTTCAGTCTTTTTCAACTTTCCCTTTATTCTAATTTTATTTTATTTTCAGTTCGAATGTAAAAAACCGTTAGTTTTACCTTCCTTTTAAAGAACTTAAGCATAAAGAGTCATACAAAAGATCCGATGAATGCACAGTGGATGAAATATTCAATTTGGCACGGATTAATTCAAATTTAAATTGCACTGATAATATTTTATTATTCGATGGACAATACATCACTGCAATTGTTAATTGTTTTGCTTTTATTCCCACAGTTGTAATCTTTCAAAGCTTACTTATGGTACGACAAGTGTGTGCGGAAAATACGTACTGCCTAACCTAAAAATATATATGTATGTCATCGTCCGAATCATTTAAAGCATACAGGACGGACCCTCGAGTACGAAGGTTGGGGATTGATGATGTAAGTCCATGTGAAGAATTGATGATCCGACGTAAGTATATATAGCAGTGGAAAGAGAAATGTTTCACAATTATGGTTGGTTCTAATTCAAAAGTGGTTTTAAAAACTATCGAATGCGGTACTGAAGAAGGTTTATTCCATAAACCTGAAGTGGTTTCGGAAGAAACTGCGATAGAAGTCAACGTGATACGAAGGTTTAAAGTAATTTTGCGCAATATGGTATATGCAGTGAATGTGGAAGCTTTTCGCACTTCTACACGAAAACTGTCGTTAGCACATATCCGTGTTCTACATACATCCATATATCTATACAATTTTTAATTCATCTTGCAGATAGAATAGAAAATCTATCGCTACAAATTAGGATGCTGCCAGAAGTGGAACTATAGCCGCTCGCAAAAGATTTTCGTTACTTCCGGCACAACACACACAACAAATTTCTATATTTACCATAATAGAAGATGTTTTATATTGTTGGTATCTTCAGCCCCTCTCATTTCATCGAAATTCACAAAATCATCAAAATTTGCTAACAAAATTAAACTGGTTCTTTCAGATGAATTTGACTTTTCGTGCAACTGTCCTTCTGATACATCTAACTCCGAGTACTTTTTTAACGCCATAAGCATAAGTTATTAAAAAAATTAAATTTTTGTTTCTTTTTTTTTTTGGTTTTTAAATTAACTAAAATTGGTCTTATTGATTAATTTCTAAAAAAAAAACAGAATGGTTATATTGTGTAGGTACGAATGTTCTATTCGATCTGAAGTAATTAATTAATCCGTACCAGATTGGTAATTTCGTTCACTATGGAATGCTTTGGTCAACTCATAAGTTTTCTATTAATTACAGAGTACCTTAATGGAAAGACGATTTAAATCTCTTTAATCAATTGGTTTTATGGAAAATCAATAATTTAATTTATACGTAAAGATTCGAATATTAGGACAACTATGTCAACTAAAAAAGTTTATACCAAAAAAGCAATGTAATTGAACTCTTCATAATATATTGTTCAATAATTTTTTCTTCATTGTATTACTGATTTATCTCGTAATAATATGCGCAAAGTTAATAATCATTTTAGTCAACTGTGTGTCGTGTATTATCAGTAGCCATATTCGTTGTCCTAAAGAAAAAAGCAAAGTTACTACTATTTTTTGTTTTGTTTTTGTTAACTCACTTTTAACGTTTCTTTAGCTGAGGACCGATATCTTACTTCTTTTTCACATAAATCACGGTCCCTGTTGTGCTTGGAACGTTGAATATAATCGAGCTTAGAGCCATATCGACATCCATATTCATTATTATCCCTATCTACCTCAGTATCAGCTCTTTCATCTCTTTCTTTTTGCTGTGAATCTGAAGATAAGTTCATTTTATGGCTTTCATTTCGACGCTGTTCATTAAAGTTATGGAAATTTCCTCGATAAGAATTATTTCGTTCACGAAAACTGGCGGTACCACTAGTGAAAAATTTTTGAGACCCAACAGTTACTCGAATATCTCTTTCCCTATCACGATCATCACTTTGGCGACTATAATGTCTACTTATAGGTGGAGTCGTTGTTACATTATCGTAAGAAGTTGGCTTCTTTGAAACTTCCTCTTCTTGTTTTTTTTCATAATGGTAAAAGTCGTCAAAAATGGATGTAGAATGCTTATAACAGTGGAGTATTTGAAGAACTTCGATACCTTTAGCATTAGGCACCTCTTGAGTGTCGCGTGAGTTTGTAACAGATTTATTGTCATTGTTTTCTAGACGTATGTGCCTTAATTTAAGGTTTGGAACATCCTTCACGTAAATCCACTTCACTTTGAACTTTCCTTTCCACTTATCTTGAGACCATACGCTTGATGTAGAATTATAGTCAACAGCGGTAATCATTTGAGCCATTCCACAGAAATGACCGGAACCATTTACAGAAAAGAAGAGAAGAACTTGCCCTCCCTCCTTTTGACGTTCTTTAAAAGCATCATCTAGTCGTTTGTTGCCATGATCAGTTGAACACCAAATTTCATACTTTATACTTCGATGAATATCATCTTCGGAATATGATTTAATAACAAAGAATCTAAAAGCATCAGAAATAAATTATTTGTACATATGTATATTACAAATGTTATCCAGATACCTTGCTGAAGTTGCAATATTCAAGTCAATTTCCAATGGATTATAATTGTTTTTATCATATAGTTTTTCAAGCACTGCATTTGAAACTTCTGTAGTTATTTCGTCAACATTCTGGCATGAATTAATACTTCGTTCAGCACTATCTTTTATAGTAGATTCTTGTTCCGTTAAACGAGTATAGTTTTTACGTTCCGTGAATCGACTTTGATAACCACAATTTCCAATATTATTATCGGATCGACGAATATGACCTAAGTTTGTATTTCCAGGCCCCCGATTATTTTGTTCCAAGATCTGTAAAGACCAGTTCTTACGCGAATTATTTGTAGGTGAAGTTCGCGTGCGTCCATAATTACTATTATTGTAATTTACTTTATTTTCTTCGCGAATATATTGATTCCCTTTGTGACTTCGGTCGGCCTTCTCTTCTATTTCATAATCACATCCAACTCCGACTGTATAATTGGGATCAACTTCAGTAAATGATTTATCAGTCGACGGGGATGGAGATGGTACAGGAGGAGGATTGTTGTTTGGCAATTCCCATGTATTAACATCCAAGTTATGTTTTCCCGGTACCATTGGTGGAGGAGGCATGCCTGGCCCTTTTTTTTTATGACTTAATGTTGAAAGATTAGTCTAAAATTATACTATGTTATAGAAGTGATTCAAAAAAGGTTATCTACTTGTTAGGTACCCTTAGAGCCGATTTTGCTGGCTGCGAAGCGATTGACGCCCAAGTCGTCTTTTTGGGTACCACAGAAGCTGTCGTAACTGTTTTCTTATCCTCATTCGGAGCACTTATAATCGCTTTGTTCTCGTATTTACCCATTGTATACATATTTTCTGTTCTGATGGCCTATTATTATATATAATTTTTACATACTCATTTCGTTTTTTTCAATGGAAAATAATACTTACCCTGTTAATGTTTGAAGGATTGTCGGTCATATGTTTCCCTTTTTTCTGATTCCCCCATGAATTTGACAGAAAGTCATCTCTTTTCGTATGGTTAAAACTACCTGGCTTCCCATTCTTTTTAACGGAGTCTAAAAAAATACAATACAATAATCGCTATAGATATACATATATGTACATATTAAGTTACATTTTGGTTTGGTAATACATGTAGAACATTTAATTATAAAAAAATAACAAAATTTTAATTAATTAAATATATTAAAGGTTAACGTAACACGCAACTAGAAACGACCATGGGGTACTTTGGTGTCTGGTGGTAGATGAGCTTTTCTATTTGCTAACATTCAATGGCATTCACTGAATGATGGTGAGTCGATGTTGGGCGTAACATTAACCCAACAAAATGGCCATCATTCCGTATACGGTAAGGAGATCTCTTCTATCCTTAGAGCTAGTAGTAGATTATAAATTTAGGTGAAAAAACACATAGAAGCCGCTATTGTGAAAGTCTATGCGAACGCCTGCTGGTAGAACGTGGGACTGTGATAACAATAGGTCGAAGTGGAAATTTCAACTTTTAATCTAATCCTTCTTTTATGAAATCATTTATCACAAACCTAGTCAACTTTTAATGCTGATATACATACGTATATAGAAAATCAATAGTACCTTGACTATATGCAAATACAAAACCTATAACAAGTAAGGAAGTGCTAAATGCGGGTGAAACCGAATATTTTATACTCTTGCAACTTACAAGAACCAAAGTCAAAGAAATACTATAGGAGGCGTCAGTCAGAGGATCGAAATCTTAACAATTTTATACTATATACATATAACTTATCGACATACATAAGATTTGTTAGAAAATCGAAAATTATTATACGTAATATATAAGTAGGAATATGAGAAGAATGGTCTGGTCTCGAGATATGTGATTTAACCTAAAAGTGGGCGGTGCTACGCCCATCATCAAATATTCACACCGGCTCCCATAAAGCCTTCTTATACCACCTCGGAGGTAAAATTTAATGTCTCTGACGTAATTAKTTATTGATTTTTTGCGCTTTTCGTAGTTTTGAACAGTACCACTATATAGGGAGTGAGCGAAGTTATCATCCGATTTCATCCATTTTCACACTGTCGGTAGGAGTTCTTATAATATCTGCACTCAATTATATCATTAGTAGTTTAGATAAAGGGCGGGGCCGCACCCACTTTTAAAAATTTTTTGCCCGCAGGTGCCTCATGTATATGGCAATTAAGTATATCTTAATTTAGTGCTTAGTTGTGGCACTTTCTAGGTTTTCGGCTATGGGCGATTTGTTGGCAATGCAGTGGTCCGATTCCGCCCATTTTCGAATTCGACGATCTGACAGAACACTTGTACGGTTTAAACTTAGCTAGAAAGTCGGAAATCATTAAATCGGGTGCATTTGAGCTAATTGCGTTAATTCGAAGCAGTACTCAAGTATATTAGGGAACATGTTTTCACATAATTTTATGAAAATAATCTACACGCTGAGAGGCAAATGCGCCAAAAAGTCTGGTAGAATGACTAAATATTCTTTAAAAAAAAATAGTAAACAATGAAAAAAAATACTGTCCCGTTATGCAAATCAAACAAAAAATATATTTGATATATTTCGGCGAAATTCTGGGCTCACAAAAGTATTTTGCTTTGGTTTTCAAATCTGCTATTTAGTTCGGATTTTGTGTTTTTCTATATTTTTATAATAATATGGTTGCTAGTACATATTAGAACCGAATTTTGTTTTAGTTGCATTTATTTCGATTATGATAATGGTTCCATGTTGGCTTTTGAGAAAAAAATTATTTTGCACCTTCACAATGAAGGTAAATCCACATAATATATTAGTGATATTTACGGCGATGTCGCCAAAAAATAATGGGAAAAAGAGGACAAAGAACGCGGTAACTCAGAAAACGCGGGCCGTACTGGATGACCAAAGTTACTGACAGTAAGAGAATAGAGTAAAAATAAATACGTAATGTAATAAAAATATTACAGCAAAAACGTAAAAATCTACAATTATCAGCCTCATTTAGAGCAGCGTCTCGCATCAAAATCTCAGATGAAACAGCGCGCTGAGTGCTTTGAAATAACAATACGGCCATGTTGCAAGAAAAAACCACTTATATCGGTTATAAATAAACAAAAGAGTTCAACACGAGAATTACCCGAAACATAAAGCCCCCTACGAGGCTGTTGTAGCGTTGTCATTGGGGTGGTTTTTTTTACGTGGCGGGTCCCAAACCCAGCGCACAACCCTATGCAGGGAATGTTTCGCCTTCTCACTTTAGCTCACCTTCAAACGGATGTTCTTAGGCTACCCAGAGGATACTTGGTCAAGGACCGGAAGTCGTGAGCTGCTTGAGTCATATGTAAAAGAATCGTTTCTGGCCACTCCCAAGTGAATGGCGATCAGAAAACTTTCCTCACTTGCGTGAACTTCTACACATGACTCCATCCTCCACTCCATTGGAAGGACCAAGTGGAGAAGGACCCGGCTTCACTTGGAATATCTAATTGGCGCCACGTAGCGAAAAGAAGAAAAGACTGGCGTGCTGTTGTTAACTCGGCTATAATCGCGTAAGCGGTGTCTACGCCAATCAAGAAGAAGAAGAAAACCCCCTACGTTAAAATGCGTATTCTATTCTATAAGAAACATCTGCCAAAACCGCAACAAAGGCCGGACATCAATCCAATTGAAAATCTTTAGGTTCATCTAGAAAACGAAGTTAAGAATCACCAAATTTCATCAAAAAGTGTGCTCAAAAGAAGTTTGAAATAAGAATGGGACCAGATACGCCCCGACTTTTGCCGAAACTTGATAAAATTAATGCTAAGACGTTTGGAAGCTCTCTGTAAAAATAATGGCTTTCATACGCAATATTAAATAATTTTTATTACACTCAGCGAAAAAAAATCCACGCAGTCGAAAATTTTCTAATATTCCTATTTTGAACTGTCACTATTTATTTATTTATGTATTTATTTAGTTAGTTAAGTCTATGAACATTAATTCATACAGACTAATGGGGTATTAGGATGCAAATTAGAGTTCTAAAATAATTAAATTAAAAGTACATAAGTGGTTAACTTAAACTAAAAAACAGGATTGAGTCTAATAACGAAGGATACCCTAGAGTGAGAAAAATTAAGAAGAACTTTTTCTTAAATCGAGTTAAACTCACGCATAGCACGCATGAAAGGAGCATATTCAGCAAAGTTAGTACTTTCCTTTTTATAATAAAATGGGGAAATAGATCTGAGACAACGTTGAGCAGCATTGAAGTTAATTTTCCCTAATAAATATGTACCTCCATTAATAACATTAAAAACAAATGAAAGGCAGAGAACCGACCGTCGTTTTTCCAGTAGTTTAAGATGTAAAAGCAATAAACGAGATGTATACGATGGTCTTTTGAACACGCTCGATCCTATTAATTGACGATATGCAATATGATCTCCAGATGAACACTGCATACTCCAAAATGGACCGAACAAAGCATGTATACAGTAATTTCAACGTGTAGGGGTTGGAATATTGAAATAGATATTTCAATAATTTATTACAAACACTTAAAGGTTTCAAATCAAAAACATTTTTATGGAACAGGGTCTCTCACGTGGCCAGGAAACAGTTCAGATCTCAATCCAATTGAGAACTGCTGGCATTATTTGGGCAAAATGTTAACAGAAAAGCGTCTAAGTAGTCTAAAAGAAATAGAAAACATTGTTGAAGCTGTGCGGAATGAAAAAATTAATAATTATGATCTTCAGCGCTTTTTTGAATAAACGAATAGCCAAGGTTATTAGGAGGAGGGGGTGTTCTACAAAATACTAAGAAGTTTTTTTATACAAAATATGTTATTTTGATTCGTTGTGTATTCTAATGCTAAATAAAAATCATATAAAACATAAAATATGCAAATAACTTATTAAAAAATTACATTATTGTTCATAACAAAATTTACTTCTCTGGTTTGTTATGTGTATGTTTCCCCTTGATTGGAAAGGTGCCGCTGCCCAGCTGGTTGATGTCCTCGTGAAAATAAAAGCTGACATCACCGCCGTCCAAGAAATGCGATGGACGGGACAAGGACAGAGACGATTAGATTCTTGTGGCATTCACTACAGTGGCCATATAAAGGAGCGCAAGTTTGGTGTGGGATTCGTAGTGGGAGAGAGACTCCGTCGCAGAGTACTATCATTCACTCCGGTAAATGAACGTCTAGCCACAATCCGCATCAAAGCGAGGTTTTTCAACATATCGCTGATTTGCTCCCACGCCCAGACGGATGAGAAGGATGATGTGACCAAAGATGCCTTTTATGAGTGCTTGGAACACACTTATGAGAGTTGCCCCCGCCACGATGTCAAAATCGTGCTTGGCGACTTTAACGCCAGGGTGGGCAAAGAAGGTATCTTTGGTTACCTGGCTGTCTCCGGATCGAAAAACTGCCACCCAGATCTATCATGTTGTGATAGACGGAAGACACGTCTCCAGTATTGTAGATGTGCGTGCGCTCCGAAGTCCTCACATCGACTCGGATCACTATCTTCTTGCAGCCAAGATTCGCACCCGCCTCTGTGCAGCAAAAAAAAAAAACGCTCGCCAACAAACACAAGGAAGGTTCGACGTCGAGAACACAACAGACAGCCGAACGATTTTCTACTCTGAGAGCACTCGTCAACAACTCGGTATAAGCGAACTGTGGGACGCCATTTCAAACTCCTTACTTACAGCTGCAGCCGAAACCATTGGTTTTCGGAAAGTGCAAAAGAACAGCTGTTACGACGAGGAATGCTGTGTCGCAGCGGAGAGAAAACAGACGGCCTATGCGGGATGGGATAGATACCCAGAGCTGAAGAGGGAAGCGAGACGCATTTGCAGACAGAAAAAGAAAGAGGCCGAAATGCGTGAGTATGAAGAGCTTGATAAGCTGGCCGCCAGGGGTAATATTCGAAAACTCTACGACAAATTGCGGCTGCTTACAGAAGGTTTCAACACCGGAGTATTGTGTGAAAGATTAAAGCCCACCGTCAACAAACTGATTGGACCTTATCAGTGTGGCTTCAGACCCGGAAAATCAACAACCG